CTCATTCAGTAGCAGCCAAGTCTGAAAAGACGTTTCATGGGAGCGAAGGAGTTCAAAATGGGAGTCTCTTGGATTCACTCTTGTCGTTCTTTCCCCATCGATCCGAATGACGACAATCGTCGGATTCATTTTCAAGTCCGTTCTGCTCGATGGGCGGTTTTCGCTGTTTATAAATTGATTTTTTTTTTCATGCATTTTGGATTCAATAAAGAAAATGGGGCGTTTTTTTTTGAACATTTTACATCTACCTTTGACATTTTCAGCCCACATTTTCAAAATCGGTCGCAATGGAATAAGAAGAATGCCACTCAGGAACTCATTTCTTGATTTACATTTTTTTTTTAAAAGAGCGCCGTTATGATGAAAAAACCATTTTTTTTTTTTTTTGCCCAGCTTCGGTCTCAAGACACATTTTTTCCGCATGTAAACGTGTGTGTGTGTGACCTGCACAGCCTGGCTGGCGTCGCTGAGGTGCTGCAGGACGCCCAAGCACACCACGCACACGCCCTCGCCCTCGTCCTCGTCCGCCGCTTCCTCCGACTCCAGTCTGCTTCTTTTGCGAGCCGGTTCCAATTGGCCGACATTCTGGCAATTGTGGTTTTCCTCCGCGAAGGCTCGAAGTTGCCTGAGCGTTTCCTGTTCCACAGCAAAACACATTTCCGCGCTCACGACGGCGCTTTTTTTTGCACGCCATTTCTTCAAGCACAATGTCAGCATCTCGCCCAATGACGGAGTTCTTTCTCGTGTGTCACTGAATGTTTTCATCCAAGTGAAAGAAGGTGCAATGCCCTGCCCCGACGGGAAGTTGGTGTCCAATCCTAATAATCCTAAGGTTACATGTCTGCGGTGCTGCGTACCCGGCGGCCGTGCCTGTAGGCGTCCGGGACTCCGATGCAGCAGAACCTGAGCACGCAGCGAGCGCAGCAGCCGGACGCCAACAGCTTCCCGACGATCGCCTTGTCCTTCTCCTTCAGGGGCAACATCTCCTGCTCACACGTCAAACACACACACAGTAATAATCCTAAGGTTACATGTCTGCGGTGCTGCGTACCCGGCGGCCGTGCCTGTAGGCGTCCGGGACTCCGATGCAGCAGAACCTGAGCACGCAGCGAGCGCAGCAGCCGGACGCCAACAGCTTCCCGACGATCGCCTTGTCCTTCTCCTTCAGGGGCAACATCTCCTGCTCACACGTCAAACACGCGAATCTCACCGCGGGTTTGAAATGACGGCTTTCTTCAAAAACGCTTCATTTGGAAGACGACGCGACTGGGATCTTGGCTCGGCGTCGTATGACGTCGCGGCTCGTCCTC